ACATTGTATAGATTTTTCTTTATTAATGTTTTATTATTGTTTTTTTTATAAAAAGAAAGAGCGGAAAAACGGAGACCTCTTTGTGTGGGGGGGTGGGGAAGTTTAAAAGAAAACCCAAAAACCGAAGCAAATGAGTGCCCCAAGAACTAAAATAGAAGAGGGCAAAAAAAAAAAATAGGATCTTTAATTAAAAAAAATATTTGGAGAAACTGTGAAAAAAAAAAAAAAAAAAAAAAAAAAAAAAAAAAAAAAAAAAAAACAGAAAAAAATCGCCTTTGAGCTTCCGGGCCCTGTCTCGATGAAAGGTATGCTAACAGGACACACTCGCCCGCCGAGACCGTGTGGCCATGACTTTCATAGACTTTGTATATAGAACATCGTTCTGACATTGTTTTGGGTGAATGACTCTTCACGGTCCCCCCACTGTTGGAATGAAGAGATATACCTCCAAAACTTTCCTCCACTTTCATTTCCGCAAAATTTCATCGGTTGCGTCAAGTTGACTGCTCAACCGTGATGCGTGAGCTGACCGATCTTGCATGCGCGCACGAGCGAAGTAAGGCTCATCAGCCAAAGCTGACTGTGAGAATCGGTCGACGACACCGTTGCTCGCGTCTGGAATATGGCTCAACTTCCCGGCGCTTAGGCCGCTGCTCTCGCCGTTGGTCATCCTGAAATGAAGCCACACGTGAGTCCTCTGTGGCCTAACATTCACACATGAATGGGGCCTTACTTTGGGGACTTTGTTGCAGAAGGCATTGTCACTATGAGGTTCTGTTCGTCTTCAGGGTGAAATTCTGGGAAGTTGATGCTGTTTCAGGCAAACGAGCGAGGCGAGATATTCAAATCCAGTTGCTGAAGTGTGACAGAAGGACAGGCTGTCGGTATACACTCGAGATATGGCGTTCAAGATGTGGATTGCGTGATTGTGGCTGCAATGCCAGTCGGTGAAGTTTTGTTCTGTTTTTATGCTTCTTCGTTCTGAAGGCTAGTGAGTAACAGCAAGACAGGCATTTCGCTCCTCTAAATACCCAAGGATGGTCACCGGAGCAGATGGAATCTTTCAGGGAATTTAGATGATGGAATACAAAATTAGCTGACCCGCTTTAGAGTCTCGAGACACTTGTGAATGACAAAGATAAGTTTGAATGGGGCCAGAAAAAGAAATTGCATTGAGGGAGAAACCGGAATGATCGAGATCTCCAGCCTGAGAGATAGTCATGGACGATAACATCGACGTGAGCTTGGTGCACATTCGCCATTCTGTCTGTAGCATGAACTGCCGAGAGCTGCTCTGGATCAGCCACCGGCCCAACAGTCTTGAAGTGAAGAGCGAAGCGGATCTATTCCGTGGCTGCTGGCTAGCTACCTATGCTCTCATCGACGCAGGGTCTACGAAGGGATCATCGCCAAATGTCTTGATCACCGAAAGCCGTCCATTAGCCGTAGTACCGACAGGGCTTGGTCCAAGGGATGGCCACGGAGTGGAGTTGGATCTCATCGCTTAGGGGTCTAGTCCGCGTCTCTTGAACAAGAGTTCATTTACCACGGAATCAACTTTCTGGGGAATTTTGAGAAACGGACGTGGCGTACGTCGGGAAGATTGGCCGAGAAGTGCCATATGGGCCCGTCCACCTGGTACGCTACTGGATCCTACAGGTACTTTCTTTTCGACTTGCAACCATTTTTTCTTGTTCGTTGGTAGTGGACTTTGCATGATTGGACGAAAAGCAGGCTGAAACACCAGGCTCAGATCTTCTATCACAATTCACAAGTCTAGACCTTAGACCAGTAGCATGGCCGATGGCATGCAACTTTCTTGGCAGTCATTCAGCTACCAACTGCAGTCCTGCACCCTGTCATAATCTGTGTAGCAGATCCCGAGCTAGAGGCATGATTGGCGGGCTTGAATAGGAAGTCGAGATCGAGGACGAGCCGTTGCGAGGATCGGTTCGAGCTTCAGACAGACGTGGTTCGCGTGGACAAACGTGGTTCCTCGCATGGACGATCACGCACAGTCCCAAGGAAATCTGAAGCAGGAATTCGACTGGCACATCCTGCCGTTCAGCATCCCATCTTCACAGCTCCCACGATTTTGTGGCTGCATGTTTTCTTTTTCCTCGACCTCCTTGCTTCCTCGGTTCCTTTTGAGTGATGATCGGCGAACAGCCCCTTTGTCAACGTTCCTGAGCTGACGATTCACGGAGCGATGCAAGAAGTGCATCATTTGCGCGCTAGGCTATGTGCATATGCAAAATGCTATGCAGCCTGTGCTTCTTCTCGTGCTATTCTAACGGCTGCGAGTATCAAAATTCTTTTGTGCCAGTCCTCGGCCGACTGACATTCCTAACCGGACTTCTCTAAGATGACATGTGCCGAACAAATATCCTATGGCTCCTCGTTACCTACCTAGTCCTGGCATGGCGTTGGGCTCTGCCTTGAAAAGCGTTGGCGAATCTACTACAGGTGTGTGTCTATCCACATGCTTGGTCATCGTACTTCAGACATATTAACACACAAAAATAGAGTTCAGCTATGCTCCTTTAATTTCAGACTGAGAGTAATATGATTTGGCCCAGGAATAATAAAAAAAATGGAGCGCGAAACCTCGCTCATTGGATAATCCTGCCAGAAGCTTCATCATTGAGGGGTGGGATGCGCATGACACACGGACAGGGACGAGGTGAAGAGGGGGGGAAAAGCAATTATTCATTTCGCCCCGTGACTTTCTGCTGATTAGGGGCTGGGCCGTTCACGGTCGATGGGCGAAAGGAGACATTTACGACAGGTCTCAAAACTTAAGGGCTAGCTGAGATTTCACTCAGTGAATCCTAATTTTAACCATTCTCAGGGTCGGCAACTGTGAAGCCTCCAAACCTCAATACGCCTTGATCGGCGAAGCCGGTGAACTACGTACCCTCTTGGCACCGGTTGTTACCAGAGTGTCGGGTGCGTCCAATCGCTTACGCAGACCTTTGAGGCTTTGAGAACAAGGTTTGAGCGTTGTCAGGGGTTGCTGAATAAGCCTATGAAGCGGAATCCGCAGTATTGAGCGCTTGCAAGCTACAGGAATGATGCATTTCGGGCAACTTTCCAACCTGGCCGAACAGGAATTTAGACTTCACCGGCACTGCGAGATTTGCAGTCACCGTGAAGAGTTGACCAGCATGCCAGGAGAGACGTCCACTCACCAATTGGGCAAAAGTTGACGACGATTGGATGACGGCAGCTAAGAGCGGCTACTCCGTACTCCATACTGCGTCCCAGTCCAAGCCTGAAGATTTTGCGACTTGAGAGCAGTTCCGGTCGCTCGTCAGGCGATATGTGTACCGTAGACTTGAATGAAATCGTGATGGGCTGGGGTGATATTACTCTCCTCAAGATCCATAGATGTCCAGTTCCACGCTGCAGGAACCTTCTCTCTCAGGAGATCGTTGCCTTTGCGCAAGCCGAGGTCAGAAAATCTGACTTATTTTTACCAGCTTTCTACGTCAAGCTCAGCGCACATACGCAGGCTGAAAAGTCTATTCGACAGTGGGGCCTGTGAAAGTGCAATGATGACAAGGACCTCTATCATTCCTGATTGTCAAAAGTGCCATCCCGCGTGGACGGCATGAGGCAGAGCCAAGTCTCCACTCTCAAAGCGATTGGTTCTAACCAAGCCTCATTGGAGGCCTGTGCTGACGGTAGACTGCAGAGCACATGGTTGCAAGGGAGAATGGACAATCCAAGTATCCCTTGCTGAAATGCATGACAGGTCACCTTCTCAGTCGAGACTAAAACAGGAGGAATTGACGAACCCCTCGATCAGAATTCAGAACCCATTCGACGTGCAGATCTTGCTCAGATCAGTCCATTTTTTGGCGTTTCATCGCTTCGCTCTGAAACTACCCCAAATAATTGCTTTTTCGTCCTCGTTACCGGCGCAACTGCTTTTGATTAAGCCCCTTGCACCACACCACAACCATCTTCAGCAGCAGGCTAATCCCTGAAGTGAGAGATGAAACAAGCTGTTTGAACTTGAGCAGTGATCGACAACAGCTGATGAATCCGTGAGTCCGCAGTATCTACGGGCTACAGTGCTCAGAGAAGCCGACGGAGCTTGCAGCGACAAAGTACTTTTAAAGTCTTCGACCCCACAATAGCAAACGGCTGTGGCATGCCGTGATCTGCTAATCCCGGTAACGATCCGCGTCACTCAGTGTGGCCAATACTGGCTATCCTCTGACTACGGAGTATCGACTATCGAGTCTTGTTAAATGAGGCCTGTGGCATGGATCCGTCCTAAGCGTCCTTAGTCGTCTGAACTTGTTGCATACGTTATTTCGAAGATCGAGCGGAGAAAGACATTATCTTTGTGTTACACAAAGGAAATTGCGCGCGTGAACTTATCTTCACTGGTGCTAGATATTTCACAACTTTTTTGGCTCGTAGCCTGCTTTCTCCTTGCCTCTTCAGGATAGGCTGGAGGATTGATACACTAGAAACATTCTCACCCTACTCTGAGATTTGCTGAAGTTAGGTTCCGATGGCCACTATTTCTTTTTCTTCCCAATCTAGCTCGTTTGGCTGGAAACTTTTGAATATTTTCGTCATCATGTCTAGCCAATCTTGAAGTCGCAGTGCTCCTTTGATGAAAGAGAATTCCGGTCGAGCATGGTTGACGCATTTCTCTCCATTGATAGTAACAGTTCCGTCTACCGCCGAACAATGCAGACTAGGGACACTCGATTAGATTACAAATCCTCGGACCGGAATGACGATGCTCTCTAGATCGAAGGGTTGCTGACTGAGAGTGCGTCATTTCCTCTCCTTTTTTTTGCTTTTTGTGGCCTTGCCCCCATTGAGACTACTCGCACCATGGCACTACGCGAAGTCATCAAGACACGCCCCACGTGCCTAGAGGGTCTTCGCCGCCAGAACGTGTTCGAAGCCTCTGAAGGGTTTTCACCCTCTTCACTAGAGGCCCGACACAAAGGGGGCCAATGAAAGTGCAGAGGGTGATTGCCCAGATGACCACCAGATAGATCTCAGAGGCTACCTCTTGGCTACTGGTTACGGGAGATGGGGACGAATGAGGGGAGAAGATCCTATCTGTCTCGGCCAGCGACGCGATGAGGTAACCAATCTCGCCTCGTGCCACCATAGCCAAACCCAGAATCGACGCTGGATACAACGAGCGGGGCTTGGGAGGAAGCTGCGGGCCGCTGATTCGTACCACAGGACAGGTCCCTTCTTGTGTCGAGTCAGTTCCCGCTGCTGCCGCCGGGAGTTGAGCGTCCTCCTTCCGCGAGTTTAATCCAGGAGTGGGTTGGCTTTCTTCTCTCCTTGGACCATCGCTTTGTGCCTGTCCTTGGGGTGAGGCACGTGAGGAGTCACTGTCCGGCTGAGATCGGGTCTTGCATGACTTGACCGCGCTCACAGTGGCAACTCCGAGCAGCACCTGCTTCGCCTTGGTCAACGGGTGTGAACGAGGTACAGTCAACCGGATCAGCCAGAATCCTGTCACTAGCTTGCCAAAAGCCATGAGAAGAGTGTAAACTACGCCGCGCCAGATAACCTTCGCTTCAAATATTTTCGTAATTGGGATGGAGAAACCTATAGAAGCCTGGAGGTAGTCAGAGCGGAATTCTGAGAAGATAGATGTAGATAATCAGGGCAACCTACAAAAAAGAGTGGGCTCAGAATCCGCTTGAGGGGCTCTTTGCAGAAAGTTTCGAACGTTAGTTCTCCAGTTGGTCGCTCGAAATGCATAGTCCTTTCCGTAGGAGCGGGTGTTTCAGTGGATTCAGCTTCTCTGTGGCTTCTCTGTGTATTACTTGCGTCACGAGTCAGCCGAGTTTGCATTTCAATGCTCTCTGGTCGATGTTCACGCTGGTCATTGGCTGGAATTTCGGTCTTTGGCTGCTTTTCATTAGTGGCCAACATCTCATCAAGCCAGGAAATACTAGCCCCAGCCAAGTATGCAGCAAAAAGTCCCGATGTGCCGGCGTACTGTGCGCCGGTGACCAGGCCAATGAGATAGAGCATATGGCCAACGAATGCGCCATTCAGTGACCTCATCCAAGCAGGGGACCTAATCTCGTGCGTCTGGAGTGTGCGCACGACCACCGCAACGACAAACCGACAAATGAGAAGAAGCCCCAAAGCAAACCCAAAGGCAACAAGGATGGGTCTGATCACGACCACCGGGTCGAAGGACGATTGCTGACTCGCACCACCCAGATTCGAGATGATTTGGACCATCACCAACCCCGCGACATCGTCCATCATCGCTGCGCTGCCGAGGACAACGCCCAATCGGGTCTTTGCCAATCCCGTCGTGGACAGGATGGTGAATGTCGTTCCGATACTGGTTGAGCAGAGGGATGCACCGGCGGCAAATGCTTGAAGAGGGGTCGCTGATACCAGGCGCATCAGGACGAAGGATAAAGCCATAGGCACACTTGCCCCGGTGATCGCCACCACGGAGGACAGAACAAAGTTTGATTTCAATTGGGAGAATGATGTTGAAAGTCCGCCTGTTGAACGGTGAGCATTGATACATTGATCCCATAAAAATAACGGTTTCATTTGATCTTTCTGCAGTCAACTTACCCTCGTATACCAAGAGAAGCAACCCGAGATATCCCAGTTGCTGAATGGTCTTCTGAACGTCCAGTTCTAGCCAGTTGGCTCCAGGGACTCCCCATGCCATCCCAATGAGAAGCTGCCCAATAAGCCCGCAGTATATCAGTTTATCAAGTAGGGTGTTCACCCAGTTGAGGGCAAGCAGAAAGCTACTTTGGATCAGAATTGTTTGGATCCCTGGCTCATGATAAGCCAATGCATCTCGTGAGGCTGCCATGGTGAGCTTATATCAGGCTGGAGCATATGTTTGTGCAAGTGAACCTGTCAGCCGCGGATTTATATATCTCTCCAGCAAATACTACTCAATGCCACCATTGACATATGCGACCAATAAGGCTCTAGCCTATAGGCGCGTATAACAGTCTCACCCTGTGAATTAATCAAACTGAAGCCATTGCAGTTATCTGACGATTCAACCGGCCTCAGACCACTCCGCTTCTGATAGAGTTACGTTCCCAGAAACCAAGTGTTTGAGATCCGACGACAATGGCTTTGCAAAGAGTCGACACCAAACGAAATTTATGGGCCAATGTAGCCCTGGCAATCGTCACAGCGTGGTGCAAATGTTTTTAAAGATCAAAAGTGAGATGCCTGAGCGGACACAAGACAGGGTCTCTTGGCTGTTGTTGTAATGCCTTAGGCATAAATCACGTGATATGCCATTTCAGGTAATCCATCATTATCTGCCAAACATCATCGTCTCCATCATTCTTGCAGTCATATCGTGTCTGCTAGTCCCCGCCTTTTCATGTTCATCTTTATCTTGGGACAATCTCTCGAGTAATTGACGATGCTATGAAAACTGCAAGCTTATCGACCGCTTTCAATAATGGTTCTGTTGTTGCTGCGGGGCTGTGCTTTCGTCTCTTAGTGCTAGAAGTATATGTAGACCAAATCGATCTACGGTGTCTTTGGCAAAGCAGTGTTTACTGATATCAAGGCGTCACGAGCTAGGTACCTCCGCGTCTCAAATGTATCAGGATTCATGCTGACCCCTCGTAGGACGGATGAGAACATCCTTTCTGAAGGATGGAAACTCAGGCCTCTCTTAGCAGCATCCAGAGAGCTGTATGGGATGGAAAACTGCCGTTGCAGATAACGCTTGCTTCATCGGAGAGTCGAACATATGACCAGACTGATCCCTATCTTGTAATTATCCCTCCTCGACAAGCACCAAGACACATTATGTGTACAAAGCTAACGGATATCCAGATCGCTTGTCCGCGAATCTCATATCTGCCATCGTTATTACCCAAGTTAAGAGCCTTTTTCTCACCATCACTGATTGAACCCAACTCGCAACCCCATGAGGGTTGGTTCTCCTTCGAAGGAGTCCCGCTAAAATGGCACCTCCCCGTCGGGCTGCTGTATGACCTTTACGCGGGCGCAGACCCAGCATCCAAGGGAACAAGAATCGACGAAACAGACCATCCCACCAGTAGCGTGAGCGATACGCTTCCCTGGCGGCTGACGGTGCATTTCAGCGACTGGCCCGACGAAGAGCTCGTACGACTCGACGCAGACGGCATGGTCATGCACGACGCGTTCATCAACAGCGTCAAGGAGGCGGATTTTCTCCGCAACGGCACTGCAAAGGGAATCATGACTCTTTCCAAGGAGGACTCGTCCGGACTATGGCAGGCCGTGCAAGATGGTATTTCACGGCCTTAGCACAGCCCATCTAAGCTTCAGTATGTTGATGATTGGTAGTGGATCTCCCTTCCTTCCTACGCATCTCGAACATCCTCCTCCCCCCACCGAATCAGCCATTCCGCAACGTCCCAATCCGCTTTTTCCTACCCTTACCCCCAGACTCGGGCTCCCCATCTCTCAAGGTCGTCCAATCTCCGCTGCCGCCTAGTATACCAGTCACAACGAATACAAGTCAGTCGACCATTCTACGGACTAGTCCCGCCCCCGCCTCGCAAGTTCAGACAATAGGCTCAGCGTTGCACTGGCTACTTCCCAATCTCTTTCCTAGTCGGAGGACTCCTGTCCTGGCGAAGCCGGTTCTGCATGGCGCGGCGGTGCCAATGTCAGCGCCAATCGAGGAGCTAGTAAGGAGTTGCGCGTATGGGGATGGATGGGCGTATATTGTCATCAGAATGATGGGATGATCATGCATTTGCTATTCCGAACTGATTTCTTTAGCTAGATTGGGTCTCCAATAATGATAGAGCATTTGTTGCATATTGATCAATTACATACTACATAGACATACCAGAAGACGGAAATCACAGCGTTCAAAAATCAAAGGCAAAATAAATGGTCATCATCATGATGATATAAATGTAAACAAAAAATGCACCGACGCGGGATCGAACCGCGGACCTTTCCATAGGTCGTACGCCATACGAGTGGAACGCTCTACCACTGAGCTATAGGTGCAATTTGTTGTGTGGGGATTAACAACCATGTTTTATCATGCTATTTTCAATTTAGTAGTAAACATCGAATCTTGGTGCTGATTTTTCCTCCGTCATATGCGTACAAGTATCACAAATGGACGTGGAAGAAGGCGAGGCCCCTATGCGCTATGCAGACTACATACCTGAAGCAGCTATATGTTAAAACTCTTTTCAGCATATACTTTTGTCGAATTCTCTATCCAGGCTCGATGAGCTATATATGCGTGCACGACATGGGTATCATAATCGGCGCAAGTGAACCGACCAACCGACGCTTGGAATGTACTTGACGCCCGCTAAATGAGAACAACCAAAGAGTGCAAGAGATAAAAAAAGCGAGAGAAAAAAAAAACACTAAACCAAAACATACGGCTGCTCGCTCCCCATGAGCGTCGACTCGCCCGTCTCGTCCTCCGAACAACCACCATTCAGATCCTCCTCTATGATGGTCTCGGCACTGTCTCGTCGCTTGGCCTCCAGCATCGGACGCAGCTGACCTTGACTGTCAAACCAAAGAACACCGAAGGGGTTCTTGCGTGCCAAGTCCAGGGCGGTGTTGCCGGCCGCCGAGCCATATCCGTCAACAGCTTTCGCACTGTCTGGCGCCTCCAGGGAAGTGTCAGCGCCTGCGTCGAGGAGGACTCGGAAGATTGATTCTCGCCCACGTTCGGCGGCGAGGTGCAGGGCTGTTTTCCCTTCGTTAGTCATGGCGTTGATATCAGCGCCGAGCTTTAGGAGCAACGACACGAGAGACGTGCTGGGAGTGATGGCCATGACTGCCAGATGAAGTGCGGTCTCGGCGGAAGCTGAAACAGAGCGCGAGTTGATGTCTGCTCCGTGGCTTAGAAGAAGATTGATATAGTCCGACGTCTTGTCGAAGGCAAGGTCGGAAGCACCTGTGCCTACATAAACTGCCTGGTGTAGCGGCATCCAGCCCTGACTAGAGACCGCCCTCACGTCGAGACCATGATCAAGGGCCATCCTGAGGATTTCGAGACAGTCATGGTCAACTGGCGGCGTGATGTGCAATAGAGACTCGCCTTTTGCAGTCTCCACGTCGATCTTGGCCCCCTTGGCCAGCAGGAACTTGAACATACTGAGATTCCCGGACATGGCAGCGCATTGGAGCGGTGTATGGCCTTGTGAATTTCGAGCTTCGATATTTGCTCCTTGCTCAAGTAGTTTCGCCGCAGTTGACACATTGGGACACTTTCTCGCTTCTTCATGAAGCAGGGTTTCACCTTTTTTATTCCATGAATTGATGTTTGCTCCGCCAATGAGCAATAGATCAAATGCGATCCAGTGACCTTCATGGGCTGCAAGCTGTAACGCTGTGAACCCAGAGAGAGACCGAGTTTCTACCTGGGCCCCGCGCTGAAGGAGCAACGCGATTGCTTCACAATTGTCCATTTTTGCGGCCAGCTGTAGGGGAGTGAATCCATCTTCGTTCGTCATGTCAATCGTCGCGCCTCTATCAAGGAGAAAAAGTATGATTCGAGGCCTTCTCCATTCCACAGCCAGATGGAGAGCCGTATCTCCAGTGCGAATATTTCGTATGTCCACGTCAACCTTGTTCTTGACGAGTAGGGGAACGGTTGCTTCGTCGGCGGCAGTTCCAACGGCCAGCTGCAGTCCAGTTGCGCCTTGTTTGTTGGCGATTTGTGAATTGACATGGCGCGAAAGCAACAACTTCATTGCCTTCCGTTGCCCGTGTTCTGTGGCCAGGTGCAATGCCGTGCTGCCATCTTTGGTAACGGCATTCCCGTCGGCGCCATTATCAAGCAGAAAGTCGACCATTTCATCATTGCCCCGATAGGCTGCGCAATGCAGGGGTGTGATCTTTAGCGAGTTGTCGTTGGCGTCGACATGAGCGCCTTGCACCAACAGGCGCTTGAATTTCCCGGAAATACCAAAGAACGCTAAGATATGTAGCGCACTCCAGTCATCAGGATATTTTCCAAGGCCAAGCTCAGCCGGCAACCTCTTGTCCCTGATCAAGCCCATAACAGGGGGCCGTCTCCAAAGGAGCTTATTGAGGAATGTCTTGATCAAGACCTGGATTGCTTGTTCATCCTCTGCTACCTCGCGCGCATGATAGCCCCAGTATGTGGCAGCGTAGCTGAGAAAGCCGCCGCTCGAGCTGCGAGGTGTGGTCCCTCCGGTATAGTAGCAGTCGTCGACAACCTCATCCGGAATGATGGCCGTCAGACAGACCTCCGCAATGTCTCTCTGAGCGAATGGGAAGAATACTCGAGCCGCTGTTCCATTCAAGTATTCCTTTGCAGTCTTATGTACGAAGCGAACGCTGCCCGTCACGGCATCTACGGTAAGAAGTCCGGCACTTTGGTTCTGCAAAGACTGCTCAAAACTGACATTTTCGTCTTTGCCTTCACTGGCAGTGCTGCTTTGTGTGGCAGTCTTGAGTTCCGCAACGGAAAGTGGCCTCAAGGCATACAATGTCCAGTATACATGGCGAGTGGCAGTTGGATTCTGGCTCACTACCTGTTTCATTGCCTCTCCGTATGCCTCGCTCAAGCTCTCCGGTAGGTGCATAAGAGCTCTTTCAAGCAGGCTTTCATCGGTATAGCGAGAGAGTAGGTCCAGATGTATTTTTGCTAAGAGGAAACTGCATGAATACCCATGGTCAGCCAAAAAATGTTAGGCTTAATCAGTCACTCAATCACTCATATTGGTCACTTACATATCACGACTTTTTCCCATTACTGAGTGGACGACCTCTCGTCGCAGTTGAACGCCAGCAGGCTCGTCATTGCAGAGGCTCTTAAGTGCGGCATCATTCTGTATTCGAGAAAGTGTATATAGTCGGAGATCTTCCGGCGATGGCACAATGCTCACGTATGCTGAATCATTGTCAATCTGGTTAGCCTCCCGCAAAGTAACCAGGAGCTGAGCTTGGTCGGGAAGCTTCTGAAGCCGTGTCAGAATACGCTCCTTATCCGAGAATCCATCCAGGCCATCAACAATAAAGAAGACTTTTGAGAATCGGTTCACTTCGGCGCGGATGGCATTCTGGTAAGCTTTGGGTGATGCTCTCCCTTTGGTCACTGACTCGGAGTAATAGAGAGATGAGGTTGCGTAGGAAAGACTGCGTTTACGATAGACGAGTTGCGCAAGAATGTTTTGGAGCAGACCCATGGATGTTTGTTCCTTCTCTTTCTCGTCTTGACAAAAGATGAACACTGTTGCAACGTCGGGAGAGGCGAAAGTTCTCTGAAGGGAGTCGATAATGACAGACCTATCACTATTAGCATTTTTTTTTTTCTCTCCTTCTGGGTTCATCCTCTGTGGACTAAACTCACGATATAAAGGTCTTTCCCGCACCGGCTAACCAACACGAGCAATCAGCATCGAAGAACAGACGCAACATGACAAAGACTACTTACGAGGACCGACACAGTACAATGTCCGGAAAGAGCCAAGCAGCCATTGTTTGTACTGAGGATTGTCTAATATCCATCGACAAGTCCCCTGAAGCCGTCGATTGCATAAATCTGCGAGAGTGATGAAATGCTCCGAGGATAATTGACTTGTCATGCCAAGGGCATCTTCTTCAAACTGCAGGTCAACTTTAGGTCCTGCAGCAAGTCAATGACAGTCTCCCACAGAAAGGAGAAACGGACGAGTATACCAGAATCTACATCCCGGCACATCCTAAGATTATTTCTAATCTCCCGATCTAGGGAAGCACGCTCACTACCAGATGAACCCATCTAGTTAGCTCACGACATCATCACATCAGCATCGAGGACCAAACCAACCACGAATCAGCCTGCATGGACAGCAACAGTAGAATCTTGTACTGCTCCAGACGCGGCAGGAACGTGCCACCAAGCAAATGCTTTCGGAAATAATACACGCTCACACCCCCCGGCTGAAAATAAAGCTCGACGGATCTGAGCGTGGAACTGAACCACGCGAGCAGCTCGGCGAGTGCATTGAGTCGCGCAGGGTGCACGAGCCATTTCTCCTCGCCCCAGCTGATCTGGTCTTTAACCCGGTATAGAAGATCTAGGATGTCAACCAGCACTGAGAGAGTCTTTTGCGATGATTCATGGGTGTCTCGGCCGCTACTGAGACAGCGGATGACGATGCGGGTGGATTGGGTGACCTGGGCGAGATCTTCGCGGACAGCGTGGACGGTCACGGTTTCGGTCCCCGTGTTTCGTTCGACATTGCTCTTGTCCATCTCCTCGTCTACTCTATCGGCACAATATGCTTGAGTGTAATGACATCGATGCAAAGAAGTGACTGTGTAGCACAGAGAAGTTGAGGACGGTGAGGTCGTGATTGTTGGTTGTTTTTGGTCGGTTGTGGTTGATGTCAAGTGAGCTCTTCCCTCCTCATAATTGAAATGAGACCAAATGGACTTATGGCCAATTAGTCTTGATTCCTTTTAGATTATATTAGCTCGTTTAAGATCTTGATCATAATAAGAGCCACTAAGTTCCCATAGTATCAATTTTCTTAGTGGCCCTAACTTCTGACAGCCGGTTCCCCTCCTGATCCGCAGCCGCTGAATGTACATACTGGTGGCTCATCACGCATAAAGCTGCATCTATCGGCTGATCTGATTTTCCCGAGATAAGTAGACACATTGATTTCAAATGCTATTTCATCGCTTACAAGTTGAATGTTCTCTCACTCGCTCCCTTGCAGCAACTAATCGAGAGCTCAAAATCCATCTCTTC